CCTTTACAAAACAAAACATTTCTCCGTTGTTCCGCTAAGTCTGACAATGTGTTCCGTTTCTAAACAATCGTTCATTCTTTTCCCGCAGCGCATTTGTTTCTCGTTATTGCGCATGTCTGTGGCAGTGTTTACTTGTCTAGCAAAGGTCGGCCAGGCAAGAATGTATCGATATTGTAATACATTGTGGTGGAGTTGAGGCGGGGACTCTCTAAGCTTCACGAAAAAGCATTTAAAGCTGTGAGTTACTGTATGCATCACCTGACAGACAAAAACTATTTTCATACTGAACGAATTATTGCTGTCTGCACAAGTGCTTCAATTAATATGCTCTCTCTTTCATAGTTTAATTAAAGAATTTTGTATAACTGCTTTAGTGGCTATGTTGCCGGGCAACACAGACGTGGGATCACAGGAGTGCAACTTAAGATCGGACATATACATAAACCAGGTTCGGCGAATATAAATAGGATCTGCCTTGTATGGGTTAGTAGGCCTTCAAAAGTTTATTTTATTCAAATATTGTTCCAATGTGTTGCAGGTGGTTGCTGTGTTGTCTATTAACCTCCTTGTGTTCCGTTGCGGGTGCTTGGATGTGTTGTGTTCTGGCCATGTTATGAAAACCTTATGAGCGCCATTGTTTAAACAATCTGATATCACTTCACATTTTTTTCCCAGGGTTCCCAGTCATGCTCAGCCGTACTGTCCACCAGCATCTCGGGTGGTTCCAGGTACGAACGTGTCTGGCTGCATTATCAATGACAGTTTTGGCCCGGGTTGGGGACTGACCATTGTGTAGGCTGGGTATATAAATTCGGACCTCTGCTGTGGACAGTCAGTCACAACCTGAACCTCCAACACCATGTTTAAGGCCGTCAGTTCCAACAAATTTATCATGTTTTTATGATTTTATTTTAAAATAGTCTATGAAATCACTAGTTTAGAGACCTTGAGGAAATTTTCAAGATCACTAAAGCTTCCTAATATATTAATGTTACAAACACGATTTTAAGACTTTTTTTTTAAGAATTCCCATATTTATCATATATCAAAAGCTCTACTTGTTTTGTGTTGCAGGTGTTTGCTGTGTTGTCCGTCTTCCTCCTTGTGGCCTCAGCCATGGCCAGCCCCATGCCCGAGCCTGGCTATCGTCGCCATGGTGGCTATGGTGGTGGTTATGGCGGGTATGGTGGTGGTTATGGCGGATATGGTGGCGGCTATGGCTACGGAGGTGGACATGGTGGTGGATATGGCGGCTATGGTAGAGGTTATGGCGGATATGGTGGTGGACACGGCGGCTATGGATATGGAAGATAAGGGTGAGGATTATTTGTTAATGAGTTGTTATGTAGTTAAGTCAGGTAATAATTATAGTTTAGTGTGAACATAACAAGTGGAAAGACGGTATTGAGGAGGTGTTGACCTACATCCTACTCTCGCGTAGCTTCTGTTTTGGTTATCACACTACACAGCAAACTTGGGCCACTTGCTCACTAATGTTTCGTCTCAGTGACAATTTAAATATTATTGTTAACATAAAGAACTCTGTTATATTATTACTTAGAGGAAGGTTAAGCTGTATAGAGTAATTGTTGGATGACCTACTTCCAGTAGTTAAAGGACCACAGGAATTATTTTACAAAAGAAGACATTTGCTAGATTATATAATTTCATATTTAAGATATAAAACTAAAGTTATTTTGCGAAATGTTGTCTTATGTATAAACCGGTAGTCCTATAATACAATGAAGAGTGAACATATATATTATATTAATAACCTGTAATATATACTAAAAGGAATGTCTCTATTCCAGAAGGACTCAAACCCAGCACTTTCTCGGACCTAAGCAGAGTGTCATTTCCAGGACGTTGTCACAATTATTATGAAACTTCTACATTTACTCCTACAAGAAAGACGACAATATTTTTGTACGAAATAGAATAAAAAATATATAATTTCAAGATTTGTATTATTTCTGTTTGCAAGAGAAGTAATTTTTTTTTATAAAAAAGCTTAGGTAAACACAGCAATGTGCTGCTACCCGATTCTCTATGACAGATTACACAGTGTAGATCAAAAACTAGGTATAAACTCATCTAATATCCCTATCTTACAGGACGGTTAGTCATACATGGAATCAGGAGAGAAAAACCTCCCTCAATACAAAAAAATTAATTAAATTTGACTAAATAATAGTTTTATGATATTCATAAGAGCTAAGCACTGATTCGTGGTAAAATTATATTATAATTATTTTTACCAGTTTCTATAAGATTCCTCTCAAATATTTTTTTTCCATCAAGCTTAAATATACACAGCAATGTGCTGCTACCCTGTTTTGTATGAAAGATTACACAGTGTAGAACAAAAACTAGCTACAAGCTCATCCAACATTCCCCACCTCACAGGACGGCCCGTCATAAATGGAATCAAGAGAGAACATGAAATGTAACGCTGATTGATCTATTAGCCTCCACTAACAAAATCTAGGAACAGTACAAGAATACCTTCCAACATTTCAAAGTGTATAAAGTAATTACAGAGGGGTATCAGTGTTGTATGGAAGCCTTATATACTTGTTCGCAGGTGATATTATTGACCTCAGGTGAGATTATCTACTTCAGGAGACATTATCTACCTCAAGTGATATAATGTACCTCAGGTGATGTTATCTACCTAAGTTGACGGTATTTCATCACTCGGCACATTATTCACTTCAGTAAGAGGAGAGTCGTTTTCTACGCTCAAAGTAAAAGTCTTCAATGGGAAAAATAAAAAAATACTAATACTATGTTTTATAACATGCAAATTAGTGTGATCTGTGGTGTCAATTTTTGAAATACTAATTTTCCAAGTTAAATTATTAAGGTGCTGAAAACTGTGCATAGTAACTACACCGTTATAACGACTGGAACATTTGCCAAGACCCCAAATAAACTTAGTGGCTCCTGTATATATGGTGATTTGAATGCAAGAGGGAAAGTAATACGCTTTACCATTTCACAATTCAATTTGTTAAATTAGACGTATTTAATCGACGAAATTCATATTGCCCTGCTTGATCCACTTGTAACTAACGTGATATTGTCAAATTAACAATCTACAAGCCATTTTGGCCAATAGTCAGCTGCAATTAAATTATAATTTAACCGTTTCGAATATTGTGAGCAGGTCCTACTAAGATTATGCAATCTTTATATATTATTACTTATATTTATCGAGTCAATTCTGTTACAGATGTATTTGAACTTAATATTGAAAAAAATAATGGAACTATATGCTGTTTTTGCCAATATTCATCTGTAATTATATTATAAATTACGTGATTTGAGTTTTGTGGGTGGAGCTTTGTTGAACACATGTATACGATTGTATTAATTAAAGAAACACATTATCGAAAGATTTTCTTGATAATGGGCCAATTTCGATGCTTCGAACACAAAAAAATTGATTTAAGTTTTGTTAAACCAAATTTTGTTTGTTTGGGAGCCGGTCAGCCGAGCGGACAGCACGCGGGACTTGTGATCCTGTGGTCTTGGGTTCGATCCCAGGCGCCGGCGAGAAACAATGGGCAGAGTTTCTTTCACCCTATGCCCCTGTTACCTAGCAGTAAAATAGGTACCTGGGTGTTAGTCAGCTGTCACGGGCTGCTTCCTGGGGGTGGAGGCCTGGTCGAGGACCGGGCCGCGGGGACACTAAAAAGCCCCGAAATCATCTCAAGATAACCATCAAAAAGGATGAGGTAACGACCATTTATTCATTAGACGACAAATCTTCTGCATATGATTCACGAGCAAGAAAACGTAATTTCGTTATTGGAAGATTATTCCTTTTTGAAATTTTTTTAATAAATTAAATCATTGTTCAAAGATTTATTTCAATGTTAGATTGCATTTCCACTTATAATCTGTTCTTGAAACTTATATTTCCACTTATAATCTGTTCTTGAAACTTATATTTCCACTTATAATCTGTTCTTGAAACTTATATTTCCACTTATAATCTGTTCTGTTTATTATTAAAAAAATATATACTACTAGTTACAAGTAACAGAGAGCTTACAGAAATTATCATACTATATACACTACCATAAAAATATTTAGATTTTAATGAATTATATAAATAAATTTTTGCATTCCACATATATAAGTATGGCTCACTCATCTTTGTAAATACATCTGATTACATCAAGTACCATAACGTTCAATAGTTTTATTATTTCACTAAGAGAAATCCATTTTTTCATAATTATTGTTCACCATTAGTTTTGTGATATAATGCCTGGTCGGCAACCAGGAGGCCTGGTCGACGACCGGGCCGCGGGGACGCTAAGCCCCGGAAGCACCTCAAGGTAACCTCAAGGTAATGTTCCTAATCTTCCCAGAACTTACTCAAATACTCGTTTAATTCCGTTATTAAATATGGTTAAAATAGGTTCATAGTGATATTGGTGAGAAGAATTGAAGGTGATTGCACATAATTGAAGTTGGAAATATGATAATTTTATAAAAAAAAAAATATGACCAACAAATTCCAAAACGTAAAGTAATTGCAGGATTTTTGTGTAATATTTGAGATGTGAGCGAAATCTCATTCAACACACACACACACACACACACACACACACATACGAATGGTAAAGAAGACACTTAATGGAACTTTTATTATAGTGTTCATGATACTAAACGTATCATGATACTTCATGATACTAATACAAATAAAATTTGTATAATATTTTGAAATCCACCGATTTTTTGCGTAATTGCTTCAATTTAACGATTAGAAAGTAATTCTTCTTGATATAAACATGAGCCTTTGAGTTTCTTGAATGCAAAAGAAAACGTAATACTGCTTACTAGGTAATAATTATGTTTTTTTAAAACATAATTATACATTAAAACTTAACTAATAGATGAAATTCGTTGCCAACAGAGACATTTTACCTGCGTGATCCGTTTCAAATTGAGGTAACCCTGCCAAAATAATCGAGCTGGAAGAAACTATGGCAACTATTCAGCTGCAATCCAATTATAGTTTACGGGATTTGGATAAAGTGAGAATTGTAATTATTCCTACCAGGTAAGGTGTAATCGATAATATTTCTTATATTTTGAGTCAATTCCACTGTAAAGCCGCCAGAAGTTAACCTAATATTGTCAAGGTAATCACGTTTTTCCCTGGGCGATTTGAATGTTTGGTTGGGAGTTCTGCATTTGCTACTGACTTTTTGGAAACTTTTTGTTGGTGGTTAAGGATTTTTATTTAATTTTAATCAAGATTTGCTGTGCGTTTATGATTTGTTTTAAGGTAACTGAAAAATGAAGCTGACAATATTTTAATAATATAGTCAGTTACGACATTTTATCCAAATTGAACTCCAGTTTACAATTTAAGCTGGACATATATAAAGCTTTTTCCAATAATAGAGGTAGGAACAATTTGTTAGGGGAAAATTAAAAGGTGGTTGTTAAAAACTGCAGATGGAAATATACGGATTTGATAGGTAAATATAACCGGAAACAATCAAAGGCTACTTAACCTAAGGAAATAATTGCGCTTATTTCATTGTGGTTAGTCTCCATGATACTAGAGGTGCGGAAAACTGTATTATTAAAAACTCAACCAAATTATGTAATTTCTTTGTTTTATCACTGGAAACGATTTATATTTCATATATTGACGAGTCTTTTGACAAATTTACGTGCGCCTGAGGTTAAGGTCATTGGAACGTGTCTGGCTGCATTATCAATGACACTTTTGGCCCGGGTTGCGTACTGACCATTGTGAAAACTGGATATATAAAGGCGGACCTCGGCTGTGGACAGTCAGTCACAACCTGAACCTCCAACACCATGTTTAAGGCCGTCAGTTCCCACAAACTTTTCCTGTGTTTTATGGTATATTTTCAATTAGTCGATGAAATCACCAGTTTACACACCTTAGTGAGATTGAATCACAAAACTTTTTTAATATATTAATATTCAAATGTGAATTTAAGAATTTTCTTTCATATATTTTTATATAAATAATTTACTAAAAACCTCCTTGTTTTGTGTTGCAGGTGTTTGCTGTGTTGTCCGTCTTCCTCCTTGTGGCCTCAGCCATGGCCAGCCCCATGCCCGAGCCTGGCTATCGTCGTCATGGTGGCTATGGTGGTGGTTATGGCGGGTATGGTGGTGGTTATGGCGGATATGGTGGCGGCTATGGCTACGGAGGTGGATATGGTGGTGGATATGGCGGCTATGGTAGAGGTTATGGCGGATATGGTGGTGGGTATGGCGGTGGACAGGGCGGCTATGGATATGGAAGATAAGGGTGAGGATTATTTGTTAATGAGTTGTTATGTAATTAAGTCAGGTAATAATTATAGTTTAGTGTGAACATAAGTGGAAAGACGGTATTGAGGAGGTGTTGACCTACATCCTACTCTCGTGGAGCTTCTGTTTTGGTTATTACACTACACAGCAAACTTGGGCCTCTTGCTCACTAATGTTTCGTCTCAGTGACAGTGAGACGAAACATTGACAATTTAATGACAGTGACAATTTAAATATTATTGTTAACATAAAGAACTCTGTTATATTATTACTTAGAGGAAGGTTAAGCTGTATAGAGTAATTGTTGGATGACCTACTTCCAGTCGTTACAGGACCACAGGAATTATTTTACAAAAGAAGACATTTGCTAGATTATATAATTTCATATTTAAGATATAAAACTAAATTTATTTTGTGAAATGTTGTCTTATGTATAAACCAGTAGTCCTATAATACAATAAAGAGTGAACATGTATATTATATGAATAACTTGTAATATATACTAAAAGGAATGTCTCTATTCCAGAAGGACTCAAACCCAGCACTTTCTCGGACCTAAGCAGAGTGTCATTTCCAGGACGTTGTCACAATTATTATGAAACTTCTACATTTACTCCTACAAGAAAGACGACAATATTTTTGTACGAAATAGAATAAAAAATATATAATTTCAAGATTTGTATTATTTCTGTTTGCAAGAGAAGTAATATTTTTAATTAACAAGCTTAGGTAAACACAGCAATGTGCTGCTACTCGATTCACTATGACAGATTACACAGTGTAGATAAAAAACTAGGTATAAGTTTATCTAATATCTCCATCTTACAGGACGGTTAGTCATATATGGAATCAGGAGAGAAAAAACCTACCTCAATACAAAAATATTAGTTAAATTTGACTAAATAATAATCTTATGATTTTCATAAGAGCTAAGCACTGAATCGTGGAAAAATTATATTATAATTATTTTTTAGCAGTTTTTATAAGAATCCTCTCAAATAATTTATATTTTTCCATCAAGCTTAGGTATACACAGCAATGTGCTGCTACCCTGTTTTGTATGAAAGATTACACAGTGTAGAACAAAAACCAGCTACAAGCTCATCCAACATTCCCTACCTCACAGGACGGTCTGTTATAAATGGAATCAAGAGAGAACATGAAATGTAACGCTGATTGATCTATTAGCCCCCATTAGCAAAATCTAGGAACAGTACAAGAATACCTTCCAACATTCCTGAGCGTATAAAGTAATTACAGAGGGTCTCAGTATTGTATGGAAGCCTTATATATCTGTTCACAGGTGACATTATTGACCTCAGGTGAGCTTATCTACTTCAGAAGACGTTATCTACTTCAGGAGACGTTATCTACTTCAGGAGCAGTTATGTACCTCAAGTGATATAATGTACCTCAGGTGATGTTATCTACCTAAGTTGACGGTATCTTATCACTCAGCGCATTATTCACTTCAGTAAGAGGAGAGTCGTTTTCTACACTCAAAATAACGTCTTCAATGGGAAAAATAAAAAAAACACTAATACTATGTTTTATAACATTCAAATTAGTGTGATCTGTGGTGTCGATTTTTGAAATACTAATTTTACAAGTTAAATTATTAAGGTGCTGAAAACTGTGCATAGTAACTACACCGTTATAACGACTGGAACATTTGCCAAGACCCCAAATAAACTTAGTGGCTCCTGTATATATGGTGATTTAAATGCAAGAGGGAAAGTAATACCTTTTACCATTTCACAATTCAATTTGTTAAATTAGACGTATTTAATCGATGAAATTCATATTGCTCTGCTTGATCCACTTGAAACTAACGTGATATTGTCAAATTAACAATCTGCAAGCCATTTTGGCCAATAGTCAGCTGCAATTAAATTATAATTTAATCGATTCGAATATCGTGAGCAGGTCTTACTAAGATTATGTAATCGTTATATATTATTACTTATATAAATCAAGTCAATTCCGTTACTGATGTATTTGAACTTAATATTGAAAAAAATAATAGACCTATATGCTGTTTTTGCCAATATTCATCTTTAGTTATATTATAAATTAAGTGATTTGAGTTTTGTGGGTGGAGCTTTGTTGAACTCATGTATATTCGATTGTATTAGCTAATGAAACACGTTATCGAAAGATTATCTTGAGAATGGACCAATTTCGATGCTTCGAATACACAAAATTTGATTTAATTTTGTTAAACCATCAAAAAGGATGAGGTAACCACCATTTATTCATTAGACGACAAATCTCCTGAATATAATTCACGAGCAAGGAAACGTAATCTCGTTATTGGAAGATTATTCTTTGATGAAAAATTTATTATAAATTAAATCATTGTTCAAAGATTTATTTCAATGTTAGTTCCCATTTCCACTTTTAATCTGGTCTTGAAACAAGTATTATTTAAACGAATATATACCACTAGTTACAAGTAACAAAGCTTACAAAAATTATCATACTATATACACTACCATAAAAATATTTAGATTTTAATGAATTATATAAATAAATTTTTGCATTCCACATATATAAGTATAGCTCACCCATCTCTGTAAATACATCTTACTAGGTAAGGTGTAATCGATAATATTTCTTATATGTTTAGTCAATTGCGCTGTAAAGCAGCCAGAAATTAACTTAGTATTATCAAAAGTAATTACCTTTTTCCCTGGGCGATTTGAATGTTTGGTTGCGAGTTTTGCATGTTAGTGACTTTTGGAAACTTTTTGTTGGTGGTTAAAGATTTTTATTTTATTTTAATCAAGATTTGCTGTGCGTTTATGATTTTTTTTAAGGTAACTGAAAATGAAGTTGGAAATATTTTAATTTTATAATCAGTTACGACATTTTATCCAAATTGAACTCACTCCAGTTTACAAATTAAGCTGGACATATATAAAGCCTTTTCCAATAATAGAGGTAGGAACAATTTGTTAGGGAAAATTAAAAGGTGGTTGCTAAAAACTGCAGATGGAAATATACGGATTTGATAGGTAAATATAACCGGAAACAATCAAAGGCTACTTAACCTAAGGTAATAATTGCGCTTATTTCATTGTGATTAGTCTCCATGATACTAGAGGTGCGGAAAACTGTATTTTAAAAACTCAGTCATATTAAGTAATTTCTTCGTTTTAATGATTGGAAACGATTTATATTTCATATATTGACGAGTCTTTTGACAAATTTACGTGCGTCTGAGGTGAAGGTCAGCGGAACGTGTCTGGCTGCATTATCAATGACAGTTTTGGCCCGGGTTGAGGACTGACCATTGTGAAGGCTGGATATATAAAGGCGGACCTCGGCTGTGGACAGTCATTCAGAACCTGAACCTCCAACACCATGTTTAAGGCCGTCAGTTCCAAAAAACTTTTACTGTGTTTTATGGTTTTATTTTCAATTAGTCGATGACATCACCAGTTTACACATCTTAATGAGATTCAATCACAAAAGTTTTCTAATATATTAATGTTCAAATGTGAATGTAAGAACTTTCATGTATTTTTATACAAATAATTTACTTAAAACCTCCCTGTGTTGTGTTGCAGGTGTTTGCTGTGTTGTCCGTCTTCCTCCTTGTGGCTTCTGCCATGGCCAGCCCCATGCCCGAGCCTGGCTATCGTCGCCATGGTGGCTATGGTGGTGGTTATGGCGGGTATGGTGGTGGTTATGGCGGGTATGGTGGCGGCTATGGTGGAGGTTATGGTGGAGGATATGGCGGTGGATATGGAGGTTATGGCGGTGGATATGGCGGTGGATACGGCGGCTATGGATATGGACGTTAAAGGTGAAAATAGTTGTCTAATTACATAGTTTGTAATTAAATCGAGCAAGATGAATGATATCCTGTGAACATAAGAACACAACTGGTGTTAAGGAGCCAGTGTACACAGCCGCCCTCCAGTGGCTCTAAGTGTAACTAATATGATAACAAATATAGTGTCATTACACATATCATAAATGACATACTTAATATTTGTAATAAATAATTTGTTTCCAGAAGAACATGTTTTCTCCGGAACAAACTGCAACTCTCGTCAACGATCAGGACTCAGTAGTTCAGTACCTTCCACAATTACTCTTCCGTGACACTTGTCTTATTAAATAATAAATTATTTTGTCAAAGTTGTGTCTCATTCCAATGATACCAAAGTTTGGATGGTGACCTCATCATGAGGTCTCCAACACTGTCCATCAATCATTCTGTCTAGAGGTTTTCTCAGTGTTCTTAGAGTCTATTTATTTATACCTCATGTATTGGAGTGTCATTGAATAAATTTAACTCTAATTTATTTAAATTGGAAAGAATTATATCCGTGAGGACTTTGTCTAGATGAAGTTGTTGTCGAATGCCAGGAATGGGTCTAGCTGCCAGTAAAGCTTTGTACTTTCATGTCTTCTGTTGATAAAACAAAATATTTACTTTTAGAGTGAGGAGAAGCACTCTGTCTTCAACAGCTAGTATTTACATTTTATAGACCATATTCCCTTCAGTTAATTCCCCTATCTCACTTAAGTAATCACAGGGGCGTCCCTCGGCCGCATGAGCGCCTGGCCCATGCAATCCGTCCTCATACTAGGTTGTTTAAAGTAGCGGCCGTCCACCCCAGAAGCATTCATCAATTTTAACGTAATGTGTATTAAAAATTGGGTTGTTATATATAAATTAATAAACATACAAATTCTATGTAGAGTTAGGCGTAGGTTAGGTTAGGTGTGTAGGTTCTGTTGGTGATTATTTGTATTTGAAGTACGTGGGGTAAAGCATTTATAGAATTGTGGTTCGAACAGAGGACATGAGCGAAACACTTGTTTGGGAAGTGTTCGGACGTCATCAGTTGTGAGTCGTGAGTAAACCACTTTTCATTTAATAACAGGGGGTTTGGCAGTTGGATTAACGAGCTTGGATCGTTGTATACGATGACGGGCAGACCCCAGTACCAAATAAATCAAATTGTCCTCAGACCAAGTCCATTTAATCCAGCTGTCGACCCCAAAGACGCATTCAAAAATTTTAACATGCTGTTCATTCAAAACGGGAATTTTCTCAAATATAAATTAATATTATAATATGTTAGTATATTGTGCATATATAGGCATAGGTTAGGTTTGGTGTTTAGGTTCTGTTGGCGATTATCTGTAGTGCGTGGGTGAAGCATTTACTGCGTTGTGGTTCGAATAAAATTCGTCAGTTAAGCACTTGTTCCGGAAGTGTTCGAACGTCATCAGTTGCGAGTTGTGTGTAAACCGTTTCTCACATACAGTGAATGTATGTGAGAAACGTGAATGAATGTATGTTTATTGGATTCATAAAGAGGGGGTTTGGCGGGTGCATGGAATCACTTTAGGGTCTTTGTTTGGAGAACGGGCTGTATTTGTAGCACATGGGTGCAACCCGTCCTCGACTCAAATCCATTACATCCAGCTGTCGATCTCACAGACGCATTCATACATTTTTACATGCTATTCATTCAAAACATGAATTTTCTCAAATATAAATTAATATTATTATATATTAGCATATTGTGTGTGTATATATATAGGCATAGGTTAGGTTAGGTGTTCAGGTTCTGTTGGCGATTATTTGTAATTGTAGTACATAGATGAAGCATTTATAGCGTTGTGGTTCGAACAAAATTCGTCAATGAAGCATTTTTTCCGGAAGTGTTCGGACGTCATCAGTTGTGAGTCGTGTGTAAACCGTTTTTCATTCTTAAACAAGGGGTTTGGCGGGTGCATAGCATGGACTTTGGGCTTTGTTTATGAGGACTGGCTGAATAAACTTGTAAAAACTAATATACAAGGCCATATTACTCAGCTGTAATGTGGGTAGTAAAGGTACCGTGTGGCCGAGGGTGTCCAGATTTGTCCTCACTGAAGTTGTTATTGCTAACTGTCCCGAGAATAATCGGTTAATCTTTCTTCCCGGTGATCGTAAGACGGATGTGTCTCGTCCTCTGGTGTTGCCACTGTGAGGATCGTGTTGACACTGCCACGTTTGTGGTTAATGTGACGATCACGTCGTTATTAACACAGCGGTCCATCCACCAGTACAGAGTTCGTGTCACTGCTAACCTCCCTATTATCAAGGGGTTGCCAGGAAATAATTTTCTAGCTCGTCCGTTACACAATATATTTATTGTGTATAATTTATTTTGTGGTTTTCATTAATGTTATTTTATTTGATAGTTAACAGTATTTAATAATTACCACGGAGAAGTTTTAAAAATAAATTTAGGTAATTAATGATTTTGCACCACACGCAAATTACGTGCTTAAACTGATTTTTCGTCGGAATGTCCTACAATATTTCATTTAAAAGAAACCTGACTCGTTGATTTTCAGTGTCAGTCAATCAGTTCCATACTATATCAAGTTGAAACTGATGTAATATTGTTATATCATTCGATCTGCAAACTATTTTGGCCAATATTCTGCTGCAGTCGAAAAATAATTTGTTACTAGAGTATTCTGGGCGGGTTTTTCTATTGACATGTAAACGTTAATATTTCATTTATTTATATTTTTAGTGTGAAGTAAGTGCCCACATGTTTTTATTTTTGATAATTAGTGTACGGTTTAATTAATGCCGAGTACTCACTAAATAAAGTAACTCATCAATACCTTTAATTAACTAAGAACAATCATTCACCTACTCCACCTTTCCCTTCCCTTCTCCCTCTCAGTTCTCCAGTATTACTTTGTCAATTCCCTCTCTTCCCCTTCCAAATCGTAGCCAGTTCCTTCCCTTTCGCATCATATACGGAGATTACAATAATACATGTCTTGTAATTCATATTTGTATTTTATTTCGTACACAAATATTGTTGTCGTTCTTACTAGGGGTAAATGCAGATGTTTCACAATGAAATAATTGTTGCAAAATTCTGGAAATAACACTTGGCTTTGGTCCGAGAATGGGCTGGGTTTTTGAGTTCTTCTGGAAAGAGAATTTCATTATAGCATATATCAGACATGGCTCATGTAATATATATGTTAATTTCATTGTATTATAGGACTACTGGTTTATACATAAGAAATTAATTTGGAAAATAACTTTGCCCTAAATTCGAAATTACAAAACCCTTACCACTGCCTTATTTTGTATAATAATTACTTTGACTTGAACTGTTAACAATAATGTTTGAATTGTCACTGTCACTGAGACGAAACATTAGTGAGCAAGAGGCCCAAATTTGTTGTGTAGTGTGATAACCAGAACAGAAGCCCCGCGAGAGTAGGTTGTAGGTCAACACCTCAATACCGTCTTTCCACTTGTTATGTTCACACTAAACTATAATTATTACCTGACTTAATTACATAACAACTCGTTAACAAACAATCCTCACCCTTATCTTCCATATCCATAGCCGCCGTGTCCACCGCCATACCCACCACCATATCCGCCATAACCTCTACCATAGCCGCCATATCCACCTCCGTAGCCATAGCCGCCATATCCACCTCCGTAGCCATAGCCGCCACCATATCCGCCATAACCACCACTATACCCGCCATAACCACCACCATTGCCACCATGACGACGATAGCCAGGCTCGGGCATGGGGCTGGCCATGGCTGAGGCCACGAGGAGGAAGACGGACAACACAGCAAACACCTGCAACACAACACATGTAGAGATTTTGAGAAATGATAAATATGGGAATTCTTAAAAAATCTTAAATTCGTATTTGGAACAAAAATATATTAGGAAGCTTTTGTGATTTTGAAAATTTCATTAGAGTCTCTAAACTGGTGATTTCATCGACTATTTTAACATAAAATCATAAAACGCATGAAAAACTTTGTTGGAACTGACGGCCTTAAACATGGTGTTGGAGGTTCAGGTTGTGACTGACTGTCCACAGCCGAGGTCCGAATTTATATACCCAGCCTTCACAATGGTCAGTCCCCAACCCGGGCCAAATTGTCATTGATAATGCAGCCAGACACGTTCCGCTGACCTTCACCTCAGACGCACGTAAATTTGTCCAAAGACTCGTGAATATGTGAAGTATAAATCGTTTCCAATCATTCAAATGAAGAAATCACATAATTCGGTTGTGTTCATAATAATACAGTTTTCCACACCTCTGGTATCATGGAGACTAATCACAATGAAATAAGAGTAATTATTACCTTATGTTAGGTAGCATTTGATTGCTTCCGATCATATTTCCATATAAAAATAGTATATTGCCAACTTCAGTTATGTGCGTGAATATATCAAGAAGAATTACTTGCTAAACATTAAATCGAAGCTCCTAAGAAAACAAATCTATGAATTTAAAAAATATATGCATTTTATGTGCGTCTAAGGTAATAATTGCGCTTATTTCATTGTGATTAGTCTCCATGATACTAGAGGTGTGGAAAACTGTATTATTATAAACACAACCGAATTATGTATTTCCTTCGTTTGAATGAATGGAAACGATTTATACTTCACATATTGACCAGACTTTGGGCAAATTTACGTGCGTCTGAGGTGAAGGTCATTGGAACGTGTCTGGCTGCATTATCAATGACAGTTTTGGCCCGGGTTGGGGACTGACCATTGTGTAGGCTGGGTATATAAAGGCGGACCTCGGCTGTGGACAGTCAGTCACAACCTGAACCTCCAACACCATGTTTAAGGCCGTCAGTTCCAAGAAACATTTCATGTGTTTTAAGGTTTTCCATTCAACTAGTCCATGAAATCGCCCGCTTGCATACCTTGATGACATTGTTTGAATCACAAAAGATTGCTAAAATATTTGTTTCAAATGCAAATTTAAGATTTTTTTAATGAATTCTCATATTAATCATTGATCATATCTTCTGTTTGTGTTGTGTTGCAGGTGTTTGCTGTGCTGTCCGTCTTCCTCCTTGTGGCCTCAGCCATGGCCAGCCCCATGCCCGAGCCTGGCTATCGTCGCCATGGTGGCTATGGTGGTGGTTATGGCGGATATGGTGGTGGTTATGGCGGATATGGTGGTGGTTATGGCGGATATGGTGGTGGTTATGGCGGATATGGTGGCGGCTATGGCTACGGAGGTGGATATGGCGGCTATGGTAGAGGTTATGGCGGATATGGTGGTGGATATGGCGGTGGACACGGTGGCTATGGATATGGAAGATAAAGGTGAGGATTATTTGTTAACGAGTTGTTATGTAGTTAAGTCAGGTAATAATTATAGTTTAGTGTGAACATAACAAGTGGAAAGACGGTATTGAGGTGTTGACCTACAACCTACTCTCGCGGGGCTTCTGGTTTAGTTATCACACAATACAACAAACTTGGGCCTCTTGCTCACTAATGTTTCGTCTCAGTGACAGTGACAATTCAAACATTATTGTTAACTGTTCAAGTCAAAGTAATTATTATACAAAATAAGGCAGTGGTAAGGGTTTTGTAATTTCGAATTTTAGGCAAAATTATTTTCCAATTAGTTTCTTATGTATAAACCAGTAGTCCTATAATACAATGAAATTAACATATATATTACATGAGCCATGTGTGATATATGCTATAATGAATTTCTCTTTTCCAGAAGGACTTAAAAACCCAGCCTATTCTCGGACCAAAGCGAAGTGCTTTCCAGAACTTTGCAACAATTATTTCATTGTGAAAACTCTGCATTTACCCCTAGTAAGAACGACAACAATATTTGTGTACGAAATAAAATACAAAATTAAATAGAAGACCTGTATTATTGAAATATCCGTATATGATGGGAAGGGGGAAGGAACTAGCGACGAGTGGGGGGGATGGGGATTGACAATATGATACTGGAGAACTGAATGGGAGAGGGGGAAGGGAGAGGTGGAGTAGGTGAATGATTGTTCTTACTTGGTTAATTAAAGATACTGATGAGTTACTTTATTTAGTGAATACTAAGCATTAACTCAACCGAACACTAATTGTTAAAAAATAAAAACATGTGAACACTTGCTTTACACTTCACTACAAGGAAAACATTGATTTCACTTAAACCTGTTCAGTTAATTACTGTGTTTAAATTCAATAAAGAGGAACTGCCAGCGCTCTGCGAGGGTCACAGAAGTAGGTGAGCAGACACAGTGTCAACATTACCAAGCACCATGTGTTTCTCTTCCGGGAATTCGACTATCACTTGGACTTAATTATAAGAATTATGAAATACTATATGTTTCCTGCATTTATTGAATCATCACTTTTACACTGAACAGGTTCTAATTACTTCTTTACCATACCTCTCTCCAAGAGTATAACTTTTCACTCTACACCGAGTCCAATGTGACTTCTCCGCCACAAAGGCGCGTTTAGTTATTCCATTTACTCAACACCCTGTTATACTGGTCTGTCATGGAAGGCACACACTCTCACCCACACTACCTAATCGTCCGCACAATACATTGAGAACTCTAACCTCTCCTAAATCAACTGGTTGACACGAGGGTGGTAGGGTGACTAACTGTGGACTGATGACGCGCCACAGTAGAGCATTATATCTTAGACTGTAATAAAATGGAGGCATTTAGAGATAAATCTAAACTCACGTTGTATGAATGGCAAATCATCTTATTTCTAAGGATAAATTATCTGAAATCCTTACTCTGTGTCCATGTCTCGCTCCCAGTAGATAAACGACTTATGAGATTAAGAAGCAAGTAGTGTATTATGAAGACATAATAACAAATATCAGCTCCTCTATCATCCTGTAATATCTCAATAACTAAAACAATTATGTATTAGCGAAAAGACCTACCATTAATGTACACTGAATAACTGTAAATACCTGTCATAAGACATATAAGACATATCACCTGTGTAAGACATGTCATTTCAGTACAGTGGTTTGTGCAAGCTTACTGTCACTGGTAACTCTCTACGGCGACTAACAGTCTTTGACGACTTCTGGTACGATGCCTCAAATATGGTGATATCCTCTTTCGTGACTCCCCCAATTAGAATTGTAAGTTATATAAGCATGGTGAGTCTGATTAGCATGACAAATAGGCATAGTGCTTCCCCAATGTTGTCTTTAATAAGCTTTTGACTTACCAGAACAATGCATCTTTCAAGTATGGTGACCCTGCTTGCTTACTCCGGTATAAATAGCAACTACAATTAGTGTTGAGTGGTGGATGGAGGTAGGCATTATATGTGGTGGTGGTTGTAGTTATTTGTGGTGGGTGTTTAACGTGTAATTTGGCAGTGTTGGGTGAGGTGGGTACTGAGTGTGTCTTGGTATGGTTGATGTGGTGGGTGAATTGAATAGTAGTGGTGGGTGTGATGGATAGTGGTGAGTGTTGTGGGTTGTGATGGGTGTGGTGTGTATTGATAGATGGTAGTGGGCGTTTAAGGTGTATTTGTACAATCAATATGTAGCTGTATTTTACATATCACAGATTAAACAGAGTTTTGTTATGTCAAATAAATATCCACATGTAATTAAGAAATATAAATATATTGCGAATATTTTTTTTAATTTTGTCCTGAAATATCTCGAGGTTTGGCTTCATTCAAATTAGACACAATTTGGGTAAAATAATTTATTTCAAAAATAAGTTAATCTTTGTTACAAGGGTAAATGTGGAAGTTATTCTCTAGCGAAGGTCCTGGAAATATGCCGGGTCTGTGTTTAGTCCAGAATAATTGTCCTGGATAACTGTTGTCCTTCTGGAAAGTAAAAATTCTTTATTAGTATCAATATTTCTGTTTATGTTTATCATATAATGAGTGTATTTTTCATGGCTCATATTTTTATTGGTAGCCTATTCAATATTCTATTCACGTAAAGGATAATTTCATAGTATGTGTTATTTGAATTATGACATTGAATTGCTTTATACGAATGACTTAAAGAAGAGAAAAAAGAATATGTTACTTGCAAATACTAGTATAGTTTGTATGATGGACGGAACTTTGGAGAGAGAGCAAGAGAACCAGAAATGTTTTGCTGCAGGATAACCCGGGCAGGAGCCAATAGAGAGCAGCTCGGTACATGCAGCTGCCTCAACACGAGTATTTTACTGGTTATTTTCACACTAAATTATTCCTCTTACTTCCCTAGAAAACATTACATCAACAAAATCACCTTTATCGTCCATATCCATAGCCCCCGTATCCACCGCCATAGCCTCCATATCCCCCGCCATAGCCTCCATATCCACCGCCATAGCCTCCATATCCACCACCATAACCTCCACCATACCCGCCATAACCACCACCATAGCCACCATGGCGACGATAGCCAGGCTCGGGCATGGGGCTGGCCATGGCTGAGGCCACAAGGAGGAAGACGGACAACACAGCCAACACCTGCAACACAACATAATAGCATAAAAAACGTAGAAAAATGCTAATTTTGTCAAGTACTCTTAAATTACTTCTAATCTAAACAAAATTCCTAAATATTTTTAAGTAAATCTTAATCTCTTCGTTAAAAACACAAACATGTAATTCCTAGATTTAATTTTAATATATTTATTCAAGAACTGCTCATAAAATTCGTTCCCACTTCATCAAAACAAAATGGTAATCATTCTAAAAGTCGTGCTTAATGACAAACGCCCACAAGAACTCACAAACTTGAACATTATGCTGGAGACTTTGGGTTTTGACTGGTATCACCCAACCAGAGTCAGTCTTTATATATCCAGCCTCAACCTGCAAACACGCACACGCACACACACACACACTGTGGGAAAAGGCGGTCGTAAAGTTGCAACAAAAAATGTTCTTCCTCAACCTTGAGCCAAGAAGCGGGGAAAAACAATAATACGATTCAATGCACCTTTACACCTGGAAACAAATGTCATAAACAAGCTTGAACAATGGATGGAAAACTTAAGCTCGAGACAACCGAGCCAGACAAAGAAAACGTGACCTCACATGGAAGAAAGCGAGAGGAAAAATAGAAAATTAATAGTTTTAACACATTCTATACGATTTTTAGGAACCGGAAGATGTGTCGTGGACTTGGTCACTTGTGGACAAGTGTCTAATTCCGCTGATATGTTTCCATTGAGAACTCAATAGCAACATAATTTGTATGTATCTGACAGTGCCTACAGCTGCAGTATTAGTTATTTAACTTTATTCTTAGTTAATTATAGTAAATGATATGACGGTTTGGTGCCCAAGTCAAGAACGGTCGACTGAAAACCGACCCTTACCTGCTCGCTCTTGATCAGCCAACGGTATTTGGGGATCCTGGGTGTAAACCCATTGGCGTATTGTGTTCCAGGGAAAGCTAATAGGGGTAAGGTTTAAAATACGCTGTTGGGAGGAAGAGCTCTAAATCAGCTATCAAGAGTTAAACTCATGTGCTTCTGTGCCCCTCACTACTCCAGACATCATCCCGTGCTCCAGACACTAACTGTTATTCCAGACACCCAACATTATTATAACCACTCTCCACTACCCAAGACACCATCCACTGCTCCACAACCCCGGACACCATCCACTCCTCCACAGCCCCGGACACCATCCACTCCACCAGACCTGTTTGGGCAGTGACCAATCACTGTGACGTTCACATCACATTTAAGTAGTTAAAAACCTGCAATAAAAGGTCAGCATTGACACTGATTTGTCGCCAAAATTGAGTTTTTTTTTTACTTCTTAATTGTTATATAGTTAATGAACACACACACACGAGTAGATGTATGTCAACGATAATGATATGCAGGAAAATCCCCATGTTCCTGCATGAGACGACACCAGCCACACAACGTTGGTAAACACGCGACTCAAACAAGACTGCTACTCTACCGTTAAGAGATATATACCCCAAGCTGATATTAGCATGAAGATAATTTTTGTATTCATATTCTCCCCGCCTGTACATGTGTGCTTGATCGGGTTATTGTCTTGCCTGTTGGTCACCAGGGCACCCCCGCTCAAGGTCGCTAGAGGAAAGTGCTTAGTCGGTGTTCTCGACTGTTTTCGTGTGTGTTGGTGGTCGTCATTGCTGAGGGAGGTATATATTGGGCGGCGCCGGGCGTGGCTGCAGAGAACAGTCTCGCCCCAGCTCTTGTACACAATGATGAAGGCAGTGAGTTGAACGGCTTTCTTCTCTCTTGTATACAACTTTGTGTAATACGCGATAACTTAGGGTATGCGGAGAATATTACAGTAGTACGGCTGGCAATGAAAGCCAAACCTTACATAATAAATGATTCTGGTGATTATTTTGAGACAATATTCCTGTTGTCGGAATAATTGCATTATCTTAATGTTCGGTAATTCTTGTCTTTATTATTCCATATATAACTCTCATTATTTATTACACACCTGTTTCAAGAGAAAAATTCATCATAGATATAAAATTAAAAAGCATTTAAGACACATTATTTTTAGTGGCAGTATTTACATAAAACTTCAATTTCAGTATAGGTGCGTTATAATCAGCATGGCTGCATATTTGATTATTTTTACCGTTTTGTGTAAGCCAGAATCTTGTGTTGTTTATTTATTTCATTTTAATTGTGTTTCAGATGTTCGCAGTGTTGTCCATCCTCCTCCTTGTGGCCTCTGCCATGGCCAGCCCCATGCCTGAGCCTGGCTATCGTCGCCATGGTGGCTATGGTGGAGGCTATGGCGGGTATGGTGGTGGGTATGGAGGTGGTTATGGAGGCTACGGCGGTGGATATGGAGGATACGGTGGATATGGAGGATACGGAGGTGGATATGGCTATGGTGGATATGGACGCTAAGGTATTTCCCGTTTTTTCAAGAACAACTTTCCTGCATCAATTGCTGTGCGTAATACTTCAACATCGACGTTAACAAAGATTTTGAGAAATATTTGCTGTGTGAGAAAATAAATTTTTGTATTGTATGCTTTAAACTTACATATTACATTCAATTCACAAATCTAAAAAATAAAAGAAGTGACGTTTGAATCCTAGGCCATTAGCACGACTTAATATTGGGTCGTGGACAGACCGCAGCCTTGTGGCTTCCTGTATTTTCAGATTGTGGAATGGGTGTCTAAATTATTATTATTATACTATTGCTACTTTCATCGCTAATAATAATAATAACAATAATAATAATAATAATAATAATAATAATAATAATAATAATAATAATAATAATAATTTCGTGTTTACAGAAGAGCAAGAACTCTCAGGTCATCCTGGAAACAGAAATGGTTCCAGCTATCTATCCTAACTTATATCGACCACGTCTGAAAGGCGATCGTTTCAACGTCTTGGTCATCCTTTAACCACTTTTTAAAATTACCACTTATTGAAATCTTTTAAATAAAACCAAATAACTACAACAATAATTTCTGTGATTAACCCAATCGTGATTAGATTTTACTCAATAGCTCAATTATTAGGGAGCAACTCAACTCGAAATTTTCGTGGGTATGGGATATATATATATATATATATATATATATATATATATATATATATATATATATATATATATATATATATATATATATATATGTCGTACCTAGTAGCCAGAACGCACTTCTCAGCCTACTACGCAAGGCCCGATTTGCCTAATAAGCCAAGTTTTCATGAATTAATTGTTTTTCGGCTACCTAACCTACCTAACCTAACCTAACCTAACTTTTTCGGCTACCTAACCTAACCTATAAAGATAGGTTAGGTTAGGTTAGGTAGGGTTGGTTTGGTTCGGTCATATATCTACGTTAATTTTAACTCCAATAAAAAAAAATTGACCTCATACATAATGAAATGGGTAGCTTTATCATTTCATAAGAAAAAAATTAGAGAAAATATATTAATTCAGGAAAACTTGGCTTATTAGGCAAATCGGGCCTAATATATATATATATATATATATATATATATATATATATATATATATATATATATATATATATATATATATATATACATATATATATATATATATATATATATATATATATATATATATATATATATATATATATATATATATATATATATATATATATATATATATGTATATATCCTACAGACAAAAATTGTCCCTACAGACAAAAATCAGAGGATACAACTGACGATTTACTATAAAACCAGAAAAACGGCCAGCCTACTCATGAGAAACTCTCCAGACACAAAACAGAACGCTTTAAAAGAGACTAACGTCGTCTATGCCTTCAAATGCCCACTTGGGGACTGTAAGCTCCAAAAAACCCAGTATATAGGCAAGACAACAACATCTCTTTCGAGGCGTTTAACGATGCACAAGCAACAGGGCTCCATTAAGGAACATATAATCTCTTCCCACAACCAAACCATCGCCAGAGAAATCCTAGTAAACAACACAGAAATCATCGATAGATACAGCGATAGCAGGCGGCTTGACGTTTGCGAGGCACTACACATCAAGAAGTCAACACCAGCAATCAACAGCCAATTATTGCACAACTATATTCTACCCACCTCAAGACTCCGCTCCAATATAGAAGCATCAAGAAATATGGACCAATAGGCTTTCTACAAACACTTCTATTCAATATATATATATATATATATATATATATATATATATATATATATATATATATATATATATATATATATATATATATATATATATATATATATATATATATATATATATATATATATATATATATATATATATATATATATATATATATATATATATGTATATATATATGTATATATATATATATATATATATATATATATATATATATATATATATATATATATATATATATATATATATATATATATATATATATATATATATATATATATAGGGGTACCACCACTGGTTTAATTAAATGGACCCACATCCTCGAAGAGGAAAATAAATAGTGTTCAGAGATGACCTTGTGGATTCTCACTGAATACTTTAATCTTTTCCTCTCCTACCACCCCTATTATTTTTTTTTTATTTGATTTTATTGCAATGCTACAGTTTACAGAAAACACACTTATATATATATATATATATATATATATATATATATATATATATATATATATATATATATATATATATATATATATATATATATATATATATATATATATATATATATATATATACCATAGCCTCGGAGGAGAAAATAGAGATCATTATTATATAATATTGTCATTTATCTCTGATTTCGAGAGTATTTGGTTCTCTTATCACACCCTTTTTATTGTTATATATTTTATTTTACATGGTTACACGATTGTGAATTGTGTAACTGTAACTACAAACGTCATTTCCATTACAAGTAAAATTAAAACAAACCAAAAGGATTAATTAATGGATATTACAACTTGATACTTATGACAAGTCAAACACCTCATTGAACGCCTTCGGGGCTGGACTCTATGTCCGAAATTCAGCACGCATTTCCACTGTGACACAAAGGCAAGTAAAATAAACTTGTCGTTTTGTGTTCTTTTGTAACCTTAAGTAATTTGTTACCCAGTTTTTTCAGAAACTTCAGTGCACATTTGCCCCACGAACCAAGGATTTCCTAATCAATCGGAACGAAACTGAAGCAATGTGCCAGATCTCTGTATTTAGAGGCTTTCTACGTTTCCCTGAAATAAGCAGTGCCACTTCCTTCGATTGAACAGTACTGAAGGTAGGTATTGGCCAATGT